ACTCTAAATTCATGGCATAAAATATATGACATTTTATCTCAAACATGATCCAGTACAGTTCAACTGTGATGTATTTCCTAAGAAACTCTCTCTGATGTTACTCACCATGATGAAATCCAATAGGCCACCTGGCCCTGAAGGCCATCTAACAGATTACCTGTATCTACATATGTATTTTTCCTCATTAAGAAAACCATTTTCATGCCCTGGCTGGCATAGCTCAGTGGATTGAGCACGGGCTGCAAACCAAAGTGTCACAGGTTCAATTCCCAGCCAGGGTACATGCCTGGGTTGCAGGCCATAACCCCCAGCAAATGCACATTGATGTTTCTCTCTCTCTCTCTCTCTCTCTCTCTCTCTCTCTCTCTCTCTCAATTTCTCAATCTCTCTCTCTCTCTCTCTCTCCCTCCCTTCCCTCTCTAAAAATAAATAAATAAAATCTTAAAAAAAAAAAAGAAAACCATTTTCCCTGAATAACACATCTCAGGCCATAAACACTTCTAATTTCAGCAGTCTTCATGAAAAGGCTTTTATTCATTCATTCAGTATTCATTCATTCAGGCGCTGTTGTAAGTGACAAGGTCCTCAGCGTTCATGGAGCTTAGATTTTAGTGAGGAAAGACAGACAAGAAACAAACAGCAAACAGTACCGGGCGGCAATGAGAATATGCAGATAACAGAAACAGAAGGTCCTGACAGAAAGGGACTGGATGGCTCCTTTAGACTGAGTGGTTGAGGAAGGCAACTCCAAGGAGAGGACATGCAAGATGAGATCCAAATGACCAAACAGAGCCAACCAAACAAAGACCAGGAGGAAAAGCCTTTGAAGCAGAGAAAACCTAAGGTACAAATTAACTTGGGATGTTTTAGGAATGGAAAAAAAGACAAATGCGCCTTACACATACAGAGGACGAGGGAGCAAGTAGTAGACGATGATGAGGTTTGAGATCACCTAGTGCTTGACTAGCTCACATAAGGAGTTCGGATTTCATTCTAAGTGTGATGGGAAAGCATTAGAGGGCTTAAGCCGAACAGTCATATGGTATGATTTTCCACTTGGGCACTGGATAGTGTAAGAGCAAAGCTAGAAGCAGGAAGAACAGTAATGGGACTACCACAGTAGTTCACATGAGAGGTGATGGTGCTATTCTAGGCCACGGCCAAGGTCCACCTGTATTAAGCCCCAAAGTGGACATGAGATGAAAATCCCTAGGCTCTTCAGTGTAGGCTCTGCTCAAGTGAGTGTCCCAATGCTGGATGAGCAAGGTCTTTAAGGCCAGGAAACCGACTATTAGGCCTGGTGGCTTTGGCTCCCTGAGTTGTACAAGTTACCCTAGATGGTGATATACTGTAATTGTTTGTTGGTGCCTATTTGGCTGGATCTGTAGCCTGTCAGACATCTCATTCTACCTACATGGGGCTGTAGACATCATCAAACTTCAACAGAACTTCCCATAAAATGCACGAAATAAGTAAATGACTTACCCTTTTCTCATTTTGAAATTTACCTACCAGGAATTTATTTTTACTCACTAGGGAAAAGTAAGGTATTCTACAAAGATTTAGATATACTGTATTTATTAATCTCAATAACCAAACAGCAAAAAAGGACAAAGTTTTAGAAAACTTGAATATGGTAGAGAAAAAGATCAAAACTAAGACCTAGGTTAGCAAGTGCAATCACTCCTTAAACACTCTGGCTCAACCTTTGTGCAAATCCACAATGGCTGTCTGTGAACACACATAACGGGCACGCAAGAATGTTTGCTGAATGAATTGCCCTACCCAGCACATAGTCAGAGAATTATTAATCTGGAACAAAAACAAAGCCACTTTGATAAAACTTGTATTTCAGCTCTACTGACTTATAATTTGTGATCATTCAAATTAAGGCTACAGTCAGTGCTTTTAAAGGGCTATTATGATTGCCCTGGCCAGGTGGCTCAGTTCGTCGGAGCATCATCCCATACACCAAAAGGTTGTAGGTTCAATCCCTAGTCAGGCACTTACGGGAGGCAACTGATGGATGTTTCTCTCTCTCTGACCTTCCCCCTCTCTCTCCCTCTCTCTGTAAAATCAATAAACACATCCTCAGGTGAGGATTTTTTTAGAAAAGCTACTGTGATTAAGATAATAATAACTATTATTGAGCACTTACATTGGATCAGAACACATGCTGTGCTTTTCAAGTAATATCTCATTTAATTTTTTTAAAACAACTTTATCAAACAGACACTGTTACCCTTGTTTCCAAATGAGGAAAGGGAGGCTCAGAGGGATAAAGTAGCTTGTCTGATGCCGCAGTGCCATAAAGTGAAAACACTGGGCTTGTGAACAAAGCCTGTCTAAGTTCAAAGTCACACTCAATATTTCGTTCAAAATCTTAGTACAAAGAAAGAACACTAACTAATCTCTTACAGCTTCTCAGAACAGAGTATCAAATAAAATGAATTCAATAAATGTGCTTTAAGCATAACACACTTTTAAGTATCATATGCTGAAGTAATTTACTAATGACCAATTCTGTCTTTGTCATTAAAGCAAGTCCCTTTCTCCGCTGGCTACTTCATTAACCTGTTCTAGTTACTCTTTATACTTAAATATAATGAAACTGAGTTTTTTACAAAAATAAACCCATGATTCACCCTTACCTAAGACTATCCTCAATCCTCAGCCCAAATTTCTTAGTTTACTATATTTTAATAAAAAGCAAAAAAAAAAAGCAAATGACTTTACAACCAATTATAAGCTCTTACTATGGAACAAATTCACAGATGTGCATGCACACATATGCACTTTGTGTGGAAATTTTCTGTTCTACTAAACTCTGGCTAAAAGCTAGCTACAGCTGCCAGTATATTCACAGCCTACACCCATTTCTGTTTGACACATGCTACACATAAAGAAGCAAAGAATAGGGCACAATGATGAATTTTAAAATGCACAATTAGGCAGAAGATGAATTGCAGTGATAATTAGTATAGTAATCCAGTTTCAGATGTCTTTCCATTATGCTTCTTTTTCTTTGCCTTTAACCAGTAAGTAAAGTCTTTGCTTTTTAACATAAATTTATCCCCCCAAAAAGAAAATGAATGTATACTACCATATTAATGTAATATCAACTTAGAAATATAAATTGTAATCTCTTTCATTATATGATCAGATGAAATTGAGCCAGTGACAAATATACAGTAAATAATATTTGGGGAAATGTTCACGTATAACCTCTTCATTTTACATATTTAACATTCTGTGTGACTGCGTACACTATTATATGATCACCTTCTGAAAGAGAGCATTATAAATACAAGAAAGAGGTTAGAGCGAAGCCAAAAGGGAAAAAAAAACTCTCGATTTTATGCTATGAAATCTCAAACTAACACTACGAGAACTTTTTGTACAAATCCATGTAACGTATGTAAATTCTTTTACACGGAAGTGGCATAAGCAGCACAGTCTCACAGCCCATCGTCTCTGATCTCCTGCCTCTGACAGTGACCGACGGCGGATGCCTCGCAGGACAGCATGAACACATAATGCACGTAACTATGCACCACTACACCGTCGCTCCAGATGGTGGTTAGGTTACATCCTGAGAGAAATGAAAACAAACCCCAACCTCCATCCCTTCCCTACTCTGTAATTTCCCAAAAGGTGATGGGAAACCTCAAATAAAGCACAAATGTAACCATAAAATAAGCTAATGCTTTGGTGGCATAATGACCAAGAAATGATCTCCTGAAATGAAAAGTTCCCGTTAGAAATAGAACCTAAGCTCATCAGATTCATGATTTGTACAGGGGGATTTCAATGAACTGAAAAGCATCTGACTCACTCAATTAGAATTATTTATAAAATAGACGAGCAAAATTAAAGCTTTAAAAAAGCTTTTTACACAAGCCATCCACCTTGTGATATGTAATAGTGTTTTCTAAAAACAATATAAAGCTTGTATTTTTAACTCTTCAGAGGAATGATGTTCACACCTGCTTTGTGATGGTTTAAAAGTACGGCTTGGATTTATTACATGTACATGTAAGTGTGCAAAACCACATAATGAAGAAATCTTGGGTTAGTCCTTCAGGAAGTACTATTTCCTAAACAATTACAGACAAAAAAAATGCACTATACTGTTAAAGGCCTTTGGAGAAGACCATTCTCTTTGCAGTGTACTGGGGTATTGATCTAACAACGTTTGTAGTCGGGACACAATTCCTGACCTAAGTCCTCCATGGTACAATTTGAATTAATTTTCTCTTTTTCTGACTCAAATAGTAAAAGAATACGTCATATGATAATGTTTTCTGTATTTGAAAATCCTTATTAAGTACTTCTTTTCCAAGTAACTGCATTGCAAGATGATGAACCAAATAACAGTCTTATACTGCATTCAGTCTTATAATTTGTATATGCTGTGTATCACTGCCTAAAAGACAGATCTCAAAAATTACTTATTCATCATTTTTACCAGCATTACACTTCCCCCATTATGACACACTTTCAAAAAAAAAAAAAGAAAAGATTATCTATATTCCAGAACCTCAGAAAGGCAGAAAAGGAACTTTCTGAGGAAGAAACAATGCACACAGACTGACACAGACACTGCGTCCTTCCCTAGAACGGGGGTCACTGATGAAATGTGTCTCCCCCAGTCTCTGGGGCAGAGCTGAAGCTGCAGTGCAGTACCATAAAACCTGCAGCTGTGTTGCTGTTCCTAATAGTCCACGCTGCTTCCTTCGACCACAGGGAGCCAAAACACACCCTGTCAGAACAGGACCTACCTTAGCAGGAACTGGCCAAAGGCGCAGAGCAGTTATGATAGGGCAATCACCAAAACAGTTACTGAGAAGACCTATCTTTAGGAATTTTCTCCTCAAGCAATTAGATTACTACACGAAAACTGTATCTATTTTTGCTTCTAAACATCCATCTTTTTTCAATAAAAACAATAGAATAGGCAAATAAACTTTACTAAATATAAGTAAGCATTAATAACTTACCTTTATTGCCCACCAAAGCAATGAGTGGCTGAGTTTCTGACTCCTCGCTCACTCTCTTCACCACAGTATACCAGTCTTCTAAATTCTCGAAGCTCTGATAATTCGTAATATCGTACACCAAGAGGATTCCCTGTCACAAAGGAATGACAGGATATTTGTAATGCACTGCTTGAAAAAATATTAATACTAAATACTCTTAAGTAATCCTTCAGCTATGCCCAGAATAGCATAAAAACACAAATGCAGACTGTTTTATATACAAACTAACTTCAATTTAGTTACTAGCAAACAGATAACACTGAGTGTTTTCATTCAGGATAAACCCAAATCCAGCAATGCAAGCTAAATAATAACTTTATCAAATTATAAATGGTTTCCCAATAAGATATCTGGGATATGCTTGTTAAGTCACAATAAATTTAAGAAAATCACATCACAGAGGAAGAAAAAGTTGTAAGGTCTACAATCCTGTCTGTTACTTTCATGAGGTCGAACATTTAAAACTTTCAATACATAACCATCTGCTGCTGCTCTTTTTAAATATTTTCAAAAATGGACATTCCATGACATCCCTTGATAGTCCATTTCAGTGTTTTAACACAATTTTCTTTAAATGAAATGAGCCCACTTCCTCTTTTGGTCCTCTGTGCATCTGGAGAACAACGTGCAAATATCCTCCTTATAATAACCCTTCATGTACTTGAAGACAGTCAAGAAACTCCTTTATCGTCTCCTTTCCAGAATAAACAAACTCAATTCCTTCAACTTGCCTCCAAGGACCTATTTTCTATCCCTTTAATCATAGTTGTTAGTTCTTCCCAGGACACTCTCCGTACAGTTTTCTGACATCCTCTTTAAAATGAGCAATCTAAAACTGGACATGATACTGTACTAAGAGCATGAACAAAGCCAGATATAACAGAGGGACTGCTTCCTGCCTCTTATATATCATATTCCTTTTAATATATCCCATTATTTTGTGTGGGAAGGAGAAATAAGTACACACACAAAAATAACAGTGCCACATTCTTGATTCTCATCCAGTTTGTGGTCAAACACTTAATGCAAAGCACTGCATACAATATATGTCTGGATCCTATAGCATTTATGTCTCCTCCTTAGGTTATAATCACAAACATTGACTACATTTTTGCACCTATCATGTACCAGACAGATATCCAGGTCTTTTCATTAACCCTCACAAGCATGCAAAGCTGGTGTTATAATCCTTATTTTACTAATAAACAGAGGTTAAAATAACCAAGGTCACACAGCCAGTTAAGTAATTGAGCCAGAGTTTGAATCAAAGACTGAATGAACATAAAGTTCGCTCATTCATTCCACAAACTTTATGCCTAGACTGTGCTGGGTGCTAGGGATATAAATTCCAAACTTATATAAATCCCAAAGAGCTCAGTCTCAAAGCAAAGCCAAACACATAAACAGACAAATATACAACACAGAAGTCATGAACAGAGATATCCTGGTAAATATTAATCAACTGGTTCGGGGGATGGCAGGGGTAGGGGTGGGAAGAGTGACATTTGCAGCATTGGCCAGCTTCTACAGTGTAAACACTGCCTTGTGGCCATTTCAAGCTACCAAAGTCACTTCACTTAACACAGAGCTGGTTAGGACACCACTATACAGCATCTCCACCACACAGATACACTACAAGTAAATAATCAGCCCTGGCTGGGGTAGCTCAGTACACTGAGCACAGGACTGTGAACCAAAGGGTCACTGGTTTGATTCCCAGTCAGGGCACATGCCTGGGTTGCCGGCCAGTTCCCCAATTGGGGATGTGCAAGGGGCAAACCACACGTTGATGTTTCTCTCCCTTTCTTTCTCCTTCCCTTCCCCCTTCTCTAAAATAAATAAATAAATAAATAGAATATAAAAAAATAAAAGTAAATAATCACCACAGCATAGGTAACAAAAAATACATAGCAAATAATTAATAAGGTATCATTTTGAGCACATTTTAATATAATTTATGAGTTTATATATCATTTTTAATCATAAATGTATTCAACAACTGACTCACAAAAACTCCTGCACTTAACAACAAAGCTCCCAGGCTGGCTCTAGCTACTACTGCTATGATCTTCCAGTCCCATGCTGTCTTTTCTTCTGCACATCATCACTTATGCAATTATCCAATAAACAGGAAATTGAAGTAAAGAGGTTCTGCAGTGTAAACACTGCCTTGTGGCCATTTCAAGCTATCTGAGTTGCCCAAAATTGAACATCTGGTTTCATACCCAGGCAGCTGACTCCAGAATCTTTGCGTGTCTTTGTCTCCCTTTTCCTTTGTCCCATGCTTTTTTATTGACTACGCCAGCCCCCAAATCACTTAGTTTCTCTGAGTCTTGGATTGTTTGCCTCTAAACTGATCATTGGCCCTGGCTGATGTGGCTCAGTGGATTGAGCTCGGGCCTGTGAACCAAAGGGTCTCCGGTTCAATTCCCAGTCAGGGCACATGCCTAGGTTGTGGGCTAGATCCCCAGCTGGAGGCACGTGAGAGGCAGCCACACATTGGTGCCTCTTAGACATCCATTTCTGTCTTCCCAAATGCACTGAAATAATTCCCGATACAGAATTATTTGAACTCCAGTCAAGATGGTGGCATAGGTAAACATGGCTTGCCTCCAATCACATCTAAATTACAAATAAAGAACAGAACCACCATCACTCAACCATCAGAAATCAAGTTGAATGGAAGTCTGACAACCATGAAATTAAAGAAACCACACCCATCCAGACTGGTAGGAGGGGTGGAGACACAGAATGAGCTGGTCACACATCCACGTATGGTAGATAAAAATTTGGGAACAGTATCTCAAGACCAAGGAGTCCCAACACCACACCAGGCCCCCCAGCCCAGGATTCCAGTGCCAGGAAGAGAAGTCCCCATAACTCCTAGCTGCAAAAACCAGCAAGGATTGACTCACTGGAAGAAACTTCTGGAGTCCCACACAGTTCCTCTTCAAGGACCCACACACAGACTCACTCAGACACATTCCCTCTGGGCGCCGGCCGGGGGTGGAAGATTGAAAGGCAGCAGTGGCACGCAGGGAGAAACTGGAGCATCCGGCATCAAGGCAAGAGCAGCTTTCTCCCAGACAGAAGGGTGTGCAGAGGCCATTGCCTTTTTCCCGAACCCCCCCCCCCGTACAGACCCACGAGCCGGCAGATGGGTGCCACATCTGAGACTCCTTCAACCTGGCTCACGTTTTTTGTCCTACCTTGGAATCCCAAGGCTCCGTCCCCCCCCAAATTATAGGTCCACCCAAGCTGTTAAAAGTGGCATTTCCATGTGAATACCTGGTCTTGTCCCCTGTTTCACAACTTCCTAAATCCTCTCAAACAAGCAACAGCTGGCCTCAGTGAGCCCCAGTCTCTGTATTTCTTGCTAAGTGGCCCCTGGCCCAGCACCAGCAGTAGCCAGCCAAGATTCAGATCAGCTTAGCCTGAAAAAGTCCAAGCCCAGTGTAAGTAGTAGGCATCTCAAACTGCTTTATAGCTCAGGCAGGGTGGCCCCAGGCAAAACACAGGTGGAGGATGATCTTGGCCTGCACCACCCAGGGAACCCATGAGCCTGTGCATCCAGTGGACAGCTACAGAGTACATCGGAACACCACCACCCTGCCCCTACACAGCTGATCCTCTACGGAGGATGGAGGTTGGTTGTCAGTGTTCATAGCTAGCCCTTAGAGCTGACTGGCCTGGAAAATCCCTCCCACTGATCCACCAACAGCAATCAGTGTTCATCTACAAGAGGAGGGTGTACTCCGCCCACATGAAGGGCACACTTCAAGTACCCAGCTTGACTGACAGGAGAGGCTGTGCCACTGGACCCTACAGGCCACACTACAAAGACACGGAGTTACAGCAGCTCTACCTAATACATAGAAACAAACACAGGGAAGCTGGCAAATGAGGAGACAAAGAAACATGGCCCAGAAGAAAAAACAGACCAAAACTTTAGAAAAAGAACTAAAAGAAATGGACATAAGCAATCTATCAGATGCAGAGTTTAAAGCACTGGTTATAAGGATGCTCAAGAAACTTAGTGAGGACCTCAACAGCATAAAAAAAATCCAGTCAGAAATAAATGATACACTAATTGAAATAAAGAACAATTTAGAAGGAAACAACAGTAGAGTGGATGAAGCCAATATTCAAATCAATGATTTGGAACTTAAGGAAGCAAATCACAACCAATCAGAACAACAAGAAAAGAAGAAAAAAGAATGCAAAAAAGAGGATAGTGTAAGCAGCTTCTGGGACAACCTCAAGCATTTCAACATTCACATCATGGGGTGCCAGAAGGCGAAGAGAAAGAGCAAGAAACTGGAAATCTATTTGAAAAAATAATGAAAGAAAACTTCCCTAATTTGGTGAAGGAAATAGACATGCAAGTCCAGGAAGCACAGAGAGTCCCAAACAAATGATGCAAAGAGGCCCTCTAAGACACATCATAATTAAAATGCCAAAGGTTAAAGACAAAGAGAGAATCTTAAAAGCAGCAAAAGAAAAGCAGTTAGTTACCTACAGGGGAGTTCCCATAAGACTGTCAGCTGATTTCTCAAAGAAACTTTGCAGGTTTGAAGGGATTGACAAGAAATATTCAAAGTCATGAAAAGCAGGGACCTACAGCCAAGATTGCTCTCCTGAGCAAAGCTATCATTTAGAACTGAAGGGCAGATAAAGAGCCTCCCAGACAAGAAAAAACTAAAGGAGTTCAATATCATCAAACCATTACTATATGAAATGTTAAAGGGATTTATTCAAGAAGAAACAAATCAAAACTATGAACAATAAAATGTCAATAAATATATATCTATCAACAATTGAATCTAAAAACAAAGCTAAGCAAACAAGAACAGACAGAATCATGGATACAGGGAGCATTTTGATGACTGCCAGATGGGAGGGGGCTGTGGGGGAATGGGTGAAGAGGTAAAGGGGTTAAGAAGTACAAATAGGTAGTTACAGAATAGCCAGGGGGATGTGAAGTACAATATAGGAAATGGAGTAGCCAAAGAACTTACATGAATGACCCTTGGACATTACAAGGAGGTGTGTGAGAGGCAGCCAACTGATGTTTCTCTCCCTCTCTTTCTC